CTTTAACATATTCAGTAACACACTCCAGAGCAAGAGCACATCTCTTTCACAAGTGGGTGCAAGTTTCTAGGTTCACAGTTAAGTTAATACAGTTATACAATATTGAACTCAGTATAAGCCCCGTAAGACATAAAATTGAATGAGTTTTTTAACCTTTAAAAAAGATCTCCATTTCATTTTAGAATATATTGTTCCTTGCAGATAGACTCGTTTTTTCTACTAACACTGAGCTGTTGGCACATGCATCTCTAATCTGTATGTATCTGATTATTACTAGTCATAATCGGTTGCACTTGGATCCTTTGTACCTGTGTATGTCTATAAAGTCATTGGGTAGATTTCAGTGGTATTGTTTATCACCTCTACTAATTAGCATGACGTAAATTTCCATGCTTCCTCCTCAAATGTAATACATTAAAAAAAATTGTTGATTTTTTTTGTGTGTATATCACACAGAGCATCCCAAACCATCTCATTTGACTATACACCCACTTCCCAGATAGCACCCTCCCATAGCCTCCCTCCCCCCACTAGAGCCCTTATACACTGATATCCCTGCTACTGTCTGCTGTGTTGTTGGCATCCCCAGCCATTCCCCACTACTTGCCCTTCTGGTGAATCTAGTCAGCCTATCTAGAGGTCTTTGTGTTAGGAGGGTCAGCTCTTCCTCCATCTAGTAGCAATCAGTTGTAAATAATCATTTAGATAAGATTGGGGTCTGCTGTTCATTTTCCCAGTTCTGTGCTGGGTTACTATCTGGGAGTCCCTTTGGCCACCCCAGACAACAACTCAAAAGAAGGTATCACCTGTCTGGCATTGTTGCTTGTTATGTAGCCTTTAGCTATGCATATGGACTCTTAAGAAATTATATTGGCCCCTTTAATCTTTCATTATACTTTCCTTTTGGGTGTTTAAGGCCATACAGTCGGTCCAGATAAACCAATTTATTTTCACTCTTCAGGTCATTTGAGGATCTGTTCTTCAGGGGCACATGGGCTTGGGAGGAGCCCCTGGCTCCTTTCTTTTACCAGTTCTGCCTATGTGAAGGTAAGTCAACTGTCCTGCTCGACCATG